TATTAAGCACATTGATAATTTATCACTTCTTAAGAGGTAATCAAGTTAAATATCAAAGGAAATGCAAAGAACCAAATTAGGCAAGAAAATAAAATCTCTCTTTCGTTAGAATTTCTGCTGGATTATCAAAGAGTTGAGAAAATTTTACAAGATACATGATGAAATTTTACCATTCTATTTACTACTTAACATGATAGTCTTTCTGATCGAGTGTACCAGAAACACTCCCTAGTATTCAACCCCAATATATTACACTGGAGACTTCTATTTTCAAAAATATCCTTTCACACCACACTCTTACCTCCTTCAACTGATAGTATCTTTCTAAATTTGGAGAAATTATACAAACGTATGAAAGGCTTTATGTTTTATCCAATTATATGTAGATAATAAAAAATATATATTTATATACATATTAGCAAGAGCATTAGTTGGATATAAAAATTTAACTATGTGAATGTAAAGAGTACTCTTGTGTAGCTGTGTCAGTGTATTCTAAAAACAAACTGACATCTCGGTTTATTGTACTTACACAGTAAGTTTAATTTACATAGAAATGACAGAGCATTTCAGGAGCAAGTCTTAAAAATAATTTCTGCTGAATGACTTCTATAATAATCTCCTTAAGAGAGAAATAAACATAAACTAAAATAGCAGTTGTGAAACATATAGAGGGTGTGGCAAAAGTAGTTTTTGTTTGTTTGTTTTTTTTATGAGTTGTAAGTACATGGAACAGTTTATTCTTGTATTATTATTTATTAATTATTGTATTAGTTTTCATACAAACAACTACACACCTAATTTTGCCCCACCCTGTATAGTAGCTCTCAGCTGAAGACAAAATTCAGTATTTAGTAGCGAACACTATAAAAACAGAAGGGGTTTTGGTTTAGCTTGCTGGCTAAAGTCAAAATCTGTTTCCTTTAAACTTCAATCTTACGCATATCAAAGCTGTTTATTAAGGCAGTCTCCAGGCAATAAACTCAGATTGGCACTCTCTTCTGAATTCTGCCCCATCCATCAAGGAGGAGCAGGAGGTTTTCAGTGTCGTTCTATGTCCAGGACATGGTGACATGCTTTCTATAGGTTCTCACTTAATGAAACTAGAGATCTTACTGGTAATTTAAATTATTTGCAGGAGATAAATACAAAGGTTTATTTGTTTTTAAGAACTCTGAGCTGTTATATAAGAACTTACATATTCTTATTTTTGGGGGGTACATGCCCCTAGTGGGAACCGAACCCAAGACTCTCTGGTCCACAGGCCAACACTCCAACCGCTGACCAAACCGACCAGGCAGAACTTACATATTCTTAATTATAGTAACATACAGTTTGACTATGAAGGTTAAAAATTTTCCAACAGAATATGTCAAAAATAGAGTCTATTTTTTATCAAGTAATTTTAATCAGCAAAGCTTTAAAAGTCTGAAACTTTTAGAACTTAAATGGAATTAGGATAAAATAATTAAAATTATTTAGCTTTACAAATAGAAAAATTATCATTAACAGATCACTTTCCTTCCTTCCAATAAGAAAATACATATCTTTATGGTTAAAATCCTAACATTAAGAAATTCCCTAAAAGTGCATAGATCCAGAATTTATACTAAACGGTTTATATATTTATATCACATTCATTTATTTTCAACAAATATCATGAAGACACAAAATTTTTTCACAAACCGCTTAAAGACATGCATAAAAAATATTATAATGCAGAGTGTAGTATCTTAAGAAAAATAAGGCAAACCCATGCCTCTGGTTTACTAACATCATTTTTTTTTTTTTATTCTATTCTCTTATTTATTGTTAATTTTATTTTTCATCTTACTAAATGACATTCATCTTTAAATTTTTTTTTGGAAGAAGACAAGATAGGAAGAGAAAGATCACAAGAAGAAAGGAAAGTGAAAAGAAAGAAAGACTGCAGCAGAGGAGATGAGGGAAGGCTTCTTAAAGGAGGAGACAGCTGAGCCAAAACCTGAAGGGTGGAGGAAGGGGTATCATGAACAAGGAAGGAAGGGCATTTCGAAGAGAGAAAACTGTAAGAAAGGTGCAAATTAAATACAGTAAGTTGGTTAAATCTAACTTGAAACTTGAAGTCACAGCTCAGAAATAGATATTAAGAAATATGGATGAAAAGGTAGGTCCACATATGTGTTAAATCGCATTACAATGAACCCTACATAAATTCACTGTAGTGAAATTGTATTATTATTTGTATATAAACAAAACTTGTATATATTGTGTCTAAGATGTAGGAAATGAAATTCAATTAATAACCAACTTTCAGCAGTGAAATTTGCAATAAAAAACAAGTATTTCAAATAAGACACGAGAAGCAAGATGACATGCAGTAAACGTTATAACAATTGGACTTTCTTCTCTAACCCTTGGGTCTTCTGTTCTGTTCACTTTTATGCTAGAAAGTTATGTTTACAATTGATCAATATATTGGGGGAATAAAAGGGATTGGTACATGAAGCTCAGGGGTCCAATGATCTAAATTTGAAAAATATTGCACTGCAAGTTAAATCCTGTGATTTTTGTGTGATTACTTGGGACCAATGTCATCATGAACACAAGTGTGAATGCAGGCACAGGAAGTGGAAATCTAGGTAATGCGGGATATTTTCTCTGTAAATATATAATTATTAAAGTGAAAACTCAAAGTATTTTGATTATCATGGAGTAAGGTCCACCAAAATAAATCTGTGATTCTTCCTATATGCAAATATTAGATAAGAGAGCTTAGGAGAAAGGAATAACTCATACATGGGATTATCAATCTAGATTTTGCTATAGATGATGATGGATGTTACAAGTTGAAAGTGAAAAAAATACAAATGCCAAGAAGAACAAGGTATATTTGGAGAACGAAACCTGTCCAAGTGTGTGGGAGACTGTGGAGGAGGCCCCAAAACCTCCTTCCACACAAGTGAACAAGGGTACATGGCTTGTAGAAGAGAGTAAAATGTAAGCCCCGTTAAAAAACAACAACTCCAGTCCTTCTTTAAGGCCATAAGTATGAATAGTTTATAATCAAAATACTACTAGCTTGCAGCATATAATTATTGAATTCAAGTAAAAATGTGTAAATTTTTTTATGTGCAGGAGAAATAATTCAGGGCATTAAATATAATTAAGTTATAAATGCAGCAAAACAATGTAAAACTATGAAGGGCCTAACATTTTTACCTGGCTTGCAAACTAACAAGTTAATCTGCTAGTTGCATGGATCCTGACAGAAGACACTAAACTTCTGGGTCAGAGACAAAGAACTTAATTACTCAGGGACAAGCAGGCAGCATGAGCTTCATGTTTTCATGGCTTCCTATTGCCCCTCAAATCCCAAACAGGCAATGTGGATAGGCTGAGGGTGGAGGCTACACACACAGTGGGACTGTATCCCAGCTGAGGAGACTCATACTTGTGAAGCCCAGTCTCATACGGGGTTTGGTTGCTAGCAACCTGCCCATTCTTTGCCACCAGTGCGTGAAGGGAAGAACATTATTTTTAGTACTTTGGACAGCAAACAAATCTGCCCTTAGCCTTGGACCAAGACATGATCTGTCTTCTAAGGTTGTTTCCTATACAAACATCTACAAATAGATAGTCCAGAACAAAAGCTCAGTACCTTAGCTTCAGAGACATGCAGAAATGCAAGAGATTCACCGAGAATTGTCTCCTAGCAAACATAAATAAGGTTCCATATATTCTTTACGCTATTGTTTAGTAATCCATTTTGACGATTTTATTAAAGAGCCAAGAAGTAAAAAATAGAAAAATGTCAGCATTTCCTTAGAGAAGTAAAATAGTAGTCTAGTTATCCACACTCATATGCCTTTTACTAAAAATACTTAATATGATGCAAAAAGAGTAAAACTTTAGCTTTAACAAAACATTCACCTGAATGACAAATGACATTTTCAAAGGTTTCTACCAGCAGTACCATTTGAGGCAACTAATGGTTACAAGATGTAATCCTTTATCAAGTCAAAAGGAAGTAGGTTAGTCCAGCTGGTGTGGCTCAGTGGCTGAGCATCGACTCATGCACCAAGAGGTTGCTGGTTCAATTCCAGGTAAGGGCACATGCCTAGGTTGAAGGCTACAGAGTAGGGGGCATGCAGGAGGCAGCCAATCAATGTTTTTCTTTCAATGATGTTTCTAAATACCTCTCCCTCTTCCTTCCTCTCTCTCTCTAAAAATCAAATAAAAACATTAAAAAAAAAAGTTAGTAGGTTAGACCCAATTTATTAGCCAAATACCAATCTTCTTCATACAGATAATCACTTTTTTTAATCCTCACTGGAGGGTATGTCTATTAATTTTTGAGACAGAGAAAGGGAGAGAAAGAAACATCGATAAGAGAGAAAACATCAGTCAGCTGCCTCTTTCATGCACCCCAACCTGGGATTGAACCGGCAATATTTTGATGTAAGGGAAGATGCTCCAACTACTGAGCCACTCAACCAGGGCTAGATAAGCACTTTAAAATTTTTTGAGAAATAACTGACAAATATAATTGGATATAACTGAAGTGTACAAAGTGATGAGTTGATATTCATATCAATGTAGAATGATTACAAAGATCAAGGCAAATTAACACATCCATCACCTCACATAGTTAACATATAGGTAACTTTTTTTTTTTAGGTAAACACTTAAAAAAACACTTATTACTCCTGGCACAGCAGAGAATTCAAACTCTTAAAACATTTTTAAAAATTGGCATGAATATGTTTTCCAACATAATGACTCACTACAAAATATTAAGGTCATAGGAAGGATGTGTGTGTATAAAAACAAACTTAAACTGAGAATATGTTTCTAACATAACCATTAGAAATAATCTAATAACAACAACAAAAAAAAGCAAAACCTTTTTGAAATCATTTTTAGGAGGACAAGTATACAAACAGCTTCAGCTTTAAAACTTTTATTTGGACGATTCAAAATTTGAAAAAACAAGGTTGAAGTTGTTTATGTGACCATACCTCTCCTAGAGCTTCGTATCTTTTCTGGTTCCATCTGTGCAAGTCTTCCCGGTAGTTAAAAACGAATGGTTCCCCAGTTTTTATGTGTCTTAACTGTCCCTCTATAAGATAAACAAACAACATTTCTGATTCAGAGTACATGTATAATAATATGGAAAGTACAACTATGTCTGATAAAATTTTTAAAGAACTTTCTCAGAACTGTTTCATTTTTTCCATTAGGTTTTTCTCTTCAAGTATTAATACAATGCAAACATGTAAATACACTAAAAGAATGACCCAAAGTACCCAAATGCAATGCTTTTTATTGTTATTTTCTAATCTACAGTAAATTAACCATATTTGAAGGCCTACAATATATAAGGTCCCAGTTCTTAATCTTAGAGGCCACCCTAAAAATGAAAGAATAATTATTAAAAGGTCAAGCAACTTTTCGAGAAGTTAAATAAGAACGAAGTAAGTCAACAATCTAAAAACTGCCACACGCAACTCATGTAGACAATAAAGTCTAACATGAGTTTGGATTCATGTGAAGGATCTTTATAGGCTACAACAGGCTTAGAAGGTTTTGGTGAGATTTCTCAACTAACCTTTGAAATATGGTAGAATTGCAAATAGAAATTGGAGAGAGGCATTGAGTAAGCCAATACTGGTTCGGACTGTCAAGTCAGACTCACTCATTTGAGAGCTTTTATTGATAATGAATAACTTTACTAATAATTTCAAGGGTACAAGCAATCAAGAGGCACAGAGAAAACAGAGAGAAACAACCGAGGAATTTCTTCCTAGGTCCAATCCTCTTACTGGATAGTACCCTCTAGTCCAGAGTAGGTGAGGTCTGTGAGTCATACAGCTTACCCACACATTGGTGAGTGTTTTGGTTACAAAACACTTCCATTTTATGTTCCAGAGAGTGGCACTGCCTATGTAATATTCTTCAGAGAAACATGCCTTACATATCCACAGATTGAAGGTTTGTTTACCATAAGCAATGCCAAACAAGTCATCCTGCTGAAAGTATTCCATGGATAAGGACTCTCCTCAGAGCAAACATTACTCTGTATTCACTAAAACATTAAAATTATCAGCATGTTTACAAGGAGAAAAGATCAGGCCACTTGTCTTCTTTTCGTCCCTAGGATATTCCCCTGGGAATCAGGAAAGAACTAAACCACAGGTGAATTGCTTCAACTCCTTCTGTTCCCCAGCAACATACATATATTACGAGAAATGGGCAGCAAATTCAAATAATAGGGAACAACTTGGTTTTAACAGTAACAAAAAGAGTATTGAGTCCAATAGTATAATTTAACACTGGAGGACGTGTTGGGATCAAATAATAGAAGGCCCAAATTACTGAGTTTGGACTTTGTCCTAAGAGCAGTGAGGCACAAGAAAGGGTTTAGAGGCAGAAGAGGAACATGGTCAAGATGACTGGAATTAACATATAACTTTTATATAGTGAGGGCATGCAGGAGTGGGGAAAGACTTGAAAGTTATGGCATTAAAACTGAACCCAGGAAATATACTATTCCAAGTAAAGCTACTTTACTATTTTTATGAATTAATTTTACCACATATAAAATGAATATTTTCAATATATAAAATAAAGGCTAATCCTTTATCATAAAGTTCTTTTTAGTACTCTCAACATGAGACATTATACTGGATCACTATCACACTCTTTTATGTCAAATGATGTCGTAAAAATGGAAGACGTATCTTTGTTTTTCTTTCTAGAAAAGGGAAATTCCCATATAAGATATCAATTCAAGAAGACTGATGGCACCTGCAAATTTAACAATTATGATTTTGACTAAAGAGCCTTAAAGATACATGACATACAGTAACGTGTAATAGAAATGTGAAATGTATTTTCTGTGAGACTAATGTGTGAAAGGACTCACTTACCTAGACTGAAAGTAAATTTAACAGACCACTTGTATCTACATCTCAGAGAGGTCATTGTCATTTTTTAAATTCTCTACTCATTTTAGACACAATAACTCTCATAAAGTGATCAAGATTTTGATTCTTTAGGAAAAAATAGGCCCCATCAAAACAGCCAACTATTAGCATTAGTGTTAAAAGTGAAAAGAAAGTAAAAAGGAAAAAATTAAAAAGAGCATTCTTATCCAGAAAAGCTATCTGGATTGTTTCTGTTATTGTGGTAATTGCAAATTTGGCATTTCTCAAAGGTTTGGAAAATTTCTCCAGCAACTGTCAAAGGTCTGATTTAGGACACTGTAGCTTAGGGTCCCCTAAAATTAGTTGTAAAGTTTCATATGTATACACAAATGCACATTATTCTGGGAAGTGTGTGCATATATTTTATCAGACTTGTGTTGGAATCTAGGAACCAAAATAGGCTGTCACTGGCCTAAATGAATCAAGCAATTCCAAGTATATAGAATACTTTCTGTAAGAAAAGTTTAATAAATATCAGGTATCACAAAAGACAAGATTCAAACTTAAACGGCCTATGAACAAGTCCCATTATTATTATTATTATTATTATTATCATTATCATTATTATTATTATTATTTGGAGATACAAAAGTGTGTTTCCTTATACTACTGCACTAGGGCACAGAGTGTGGGGATGGGTAAAATGGGAAAAACCTTCCCCTTCTTCATCTTCCAAAGTAAGGGCCTTATATAATTAAACTAGAGAATGGCTAAGTAGATATTTTAAATGCAAGTAGTATTTAAACAGGCACATTAATTCAAAAGAACAAGTATCAGTTTGACTCAGGTAAAAAGAATCTCTTCTCTTTTGCTTAGAGTGAACTTTGTATCAAAATTTTACTTTTACCCAATTAAGAACTTTAAAATCCATTAAAAAAAATTTAGAAAGTTCTTCAGTCAGGTAATTAAAGTTTCATTTTGAGGCTTTCATAAGAGTTTTTGTCGTTATAAACCTGAAGAAGAAGTCCCCGAAGATACTAGGTCAGACTCATCCTTTTAGGGATTTAATATTGAGAGCCAGTTTCCAGTTTTCAAAACCTCACCTCTTTGAAACAGTATTCACCATTAACCCTGAATTCAAAGGTGAACTCTATCATGCTAAAAATAAGATCCTTAAAAGTGGCATTTTCTCCTTGGAATGCAAGCATCTTTGCCTCATTCCGTTAATCTATGTTTATGCAAGACAATGTCCAGCATATTTAAAAAGTAAATGATAGGCTTGTACAAGAATGCATGTGCATTTGAGATGTTTACATGAAAGGGCTTGTGCATGTGCAAAGGTGTAGGTGTATAAAAAAGTGTGAGTGCAGGACATGTGCATGCAAGAGTATACAAATGTATGCCAAGACGTATGTGTGTGCAGTGTACGCGTGAACATATCTGATACAAAGGGAGAGATAAAAGTATATTGCTCCTTTGTTTTTTATTCACTTTAAGAAATGTTCAAAGTAGATGAAAGATAGACTTCAATGAAGTCTTATATCCAATAAAGCAAACATAATTATATGATTTACCCACACTACCAACACACTCCCCATTCTGGTTCTGAAAAAAAGAATCTAGTGATCATTTCAAAGGAGCAGACGCAATGTTGCTCTCAGTGCTCATTTGATTCTGTTAACTAAAATATATTAAAAAAAAAAAAAAAAAAGTATTACTACTCATACATATTTTGGCATATCTTTTATTTTAAAACTGTGAAAATTAATATCAAAAAAGTGATCCAAATTTCCAATATCTTCTGTATAAACTCATTGAATATTCTAGTCTAACTGATATTGTAAAAGGATATCCACTAACACAGTGATGGCAGATCACTAATTTAGTTGTTGCAGAGTAACAAATAGAAAGCTACAATTCAAATGCTACCTAGCCTGTAATAACATTACCCTTCAAGTATAACACTGTGTTATTAATCCAGTGAATTATAGTTATTTGTCCCAGAAACATCTTTACAATCTATGGTGTGCTCTTCTAAATCCCAAGTGAAAAGTTTATTTTATTCAGAATGTAATTAGTAAACTTTAAAATAAAGATGTTGACTGAAAAAGTTATAGAAAATTTAGTATTATGCTTTAAAATATCTTCACAGATAATAACTGCCAGTCACTTCATTTTAAATAACATGTGAAACAGTAGCATATGTCTATATATGATTGAGAATTCACTTTGGATACCAGGAAGTTGAACACTCAGGACTAAAATATATAAGCTGAATCTAATTCATGTCCATTGATTTAAATGACAATTTATAGAAAATTATGACCTGGTTCTTTTAATTAACTGAAGAATTTCACTATGAAAAGATTAGACATTATTTCTCAAAAGAAATACATAAAACACTCTTGCCTGCACATAAAAGTAGCAAATAACATCTATCCTGTGATTCTACTAGCATTGTTAAATAAATACTATGTGTAGCATACACCACTTACTTTCATTAAAAGCATATTCAAATCCTTCCAGGGTATCAGGAAAATCAAGAGGTGGTTCATCCTTTTTCATGAGTTCATCCAAATCTATCCTAGATAATAAATCTAGGGAAAAAAATGATAAGAAATTTACTTATATTCATTTTCATAATTAATAAAGATTAAATTTTAAATTACTTAAGTAGTCTTTTGTTTTATTACATTGCTTTTATGTGTTGCCATAACTGACAATGCTATTAATTTTTAAGTTCCCAGAGTGCTATAGTATAATGAAGTACCATATCAACATAATATATGCATTTTCAAAATTATAATTCTCAAAACAATCATAAGTCAGATCCTATGTACTACTATAATAAATTATTAATGTCTTCCCTTCAAAATATACAGATACTAATTTGTACTATATTAACCTCCTTTTATTGTCTTAAAAGTTTCAGATATTAATATGACTTTTAAAAGGTCACTAGCCTGGCCAGTGTGGCTCAGTGGATGAGTGTCGACCCATGCACCAGGAGGTTGCTGGTTCGGTTCCTGGTCAGGGCACATGCCCAAGTTGTGGGCCCAATCCTCAATGGGGGGCATGCACTGTTTATGGATAAGAAAACTTACAAATCTAAATAGTGGTAATACAGCTTATTATTTCATTCTGGGGGGAAATTACAATATTAAAAAAAAAATACCTGAATAAATTGGTTAATACTAGACAATTTTTATTCTTCACATAATTTGATTTTATATAATCGAAAATTTATCAAGGTGTTTTAAAATAAACATTTTATTTTGGAATCATTTTAGATTGAGAAAAGTTGCAAGATAGTACAGATAGTATATATAATACCCTTTACCCAGTTTCCCCATCCTATATTAAAATGGTACATTTGTCAAAATGAAGACCAATGTAGGTACATTTCTATTAACTAAGCCCAGATAATATTATTCATCAGTTTTTCCATAATGTCCACCTTCTGTTCAGGATTCTGTCCAGTATACCACATGGCATGGAGTCATCATGTCTCCCCAGTCTCCTCTGGTCTGTGAAAGTTTTTAGTCTTTGCTTCTTTTAAATGACCTTGATTGTTTTGAGGAGTACTGATCAAGCATTTTGTAGAATGACCCTCAATTTAAATTTGCCTGTGTTTTCCTGTGATTAGACTAGGGCTACATGTTTTTAGAAAGACTATCACAGAGATGAACTGCACTCACATCACTGGGGTAAACCTTCATCAGTTGGTTAAGGCAGTGTTTGCCAATTCTTCACTATGGACTCATTAATATTTATTGTGTACTTTGGGTTGCAATCCACTACTACATTATTTACTTTGTTGCTCAAATTGTTGTAGTGCTGGCCACTGTAAGCTCTTTCAGCTGGCTCTCATATGCCTTTGACATGCTTTCATCTTTTTGTTTTTTGAGCATTTCCTTACTTTCTGCTACTACAAGATGTTCCACTTATGTTTCCCCTTCCAGCCCTAGAATCAGTCTGTCAGCAAGCATTTAATGGTATCTTTTGGCTCACACTATGGGACAAGGCAAATCACTCACTATATAAGTCATCATAGAGTCATATCTAATTTCAAAAAAAGATAAACTTCAAATTTATTCAATTTCAAAAAGATGCTGTTGTTTTTTTAATTTAAGTTTTACGATTTTTTCCATTCTAACTCAAGTTCTGGATAAGAATAATCTCCTTGGATATATAGTAAGGCAAACCAGTTCCTTTTCTACGAAAGAAGTATATGAGAAGTAACACTTTATTTCTGTTTCTCACAGGGATATAACAAATCCATCTGTACGGTTCATCAAAATATGCTAGAGAAAAAATCAGTCTACCTTAATTCTCTAGTCTCTTTCTGTAGGACATCAAGGTAAACCAACAAAAAACTTCCAAATAAATCATTTTTGGTACTCTTCAAACTGCTATATCAAATAAGCCTCAATTTACAAAAAAAATATACCACTTTCAACATACAAACATTAAAAAAAATTGCAAACTCCCTAATAAAACGGAAATGTCACATAATATGCACATTGGGCTAAAAAGGGGATATATGCTGACAAGTTTGAGTCATCAGCAAAGTTCTGAAAACCACGTAATCTATACAAAGCAGAGTAAAATGGAAGCTTTTTTAATGTCAAAAGTTGGCTTGAAGTCACTAGAAGATTCTCACTTCTCTTCTTCCAGTGAGTTGAGGTTCTTGAACAAAATCGGATTCCTTCACTTCACAGTCATTTTCCACAGTTCAAAACTTAGAAAGCTTTTAATTAGACACAGAAAGCAGCCAATATATAAGCAGATGTATTATGTCTAATAGCCATTTTCTCTTTCTATCAGGTCAGATAATAAAATGGCATGTACCATCTATATATCATTTTAAAGATTTCACATACTTTACCTCATTTGATCATCAACAACCCTATAAAATAATAGCACATATTATATATTCACTGTCTTTCAGATAGGAAATGAGCTAAGAGAAGTAAAATGGCTTGTCCCAAATTATACCTTAACAGTAAAGTCGGCTTAGTAAAATAAATATATTTCCCAATACCTAACTCAGTGCTCTTTCAAAATCACTATGTATTCTATGTGCCGTATCAACCCTAAATTATTCTGCACCCTCTCTTCCTTACCTTATAAAGAATAAAGTTATAAATACAGAAATATGCTTTTACTTTGCTCCAAATGTTCCTTTGAATGATAAAATGAACAACCAAGTCAACAGGTAGTCCTCAAACTTCAGAACTAGGGAAGCAGATATAGATATTTTTATTTCATTAGCATTGAGAAAACATGTAGAAAGGGATTGTCAAAGACTATTTTTCTGCTTTGTAAAAGAAAAGCAATATTTTAGCTGTATTATATACACAGAGACTAGGTTCCAAAGGCGCTGGATTAGGTAAAATTCAAGCACAATAAAACGTTTACATTGAAAATCCCTTCAATCACCTATAAAATACAATAAAACTAAACCCATATAACCTAAACATGCATCAGATGTGACACAACTGTTTTTTTATCCAAAACATGCCTCTGGTGATTAAAGTGATTCAGCAACTAGAATTCTAAACTTCAACTAAGCATATGCAATAACTGGATAAAAATACCATTTGGTACCCAAAAGAATTAAAAACAGAGACTCAAACAGGTATTTGTACAATATGTTCACAGCAGCATTAGTCACAACAGCCAAAGGTAGGAACAACCCAAGGTGAATGGTGTAGTGATTCTTCTATGTGTTAACTTGACTAGGCCATGGGGTGCCCACATTTTGGTTAAACATTATTCTGAGTATGTCTGTGAAGGTGTTTCTGAGTAAGATTAATTTGCATCTGTAGAGTCAATAAAGCAAATTGCCTTCCTCCCATATGGATGAACCTCATCTGATCCATTGAAGGTCTGACTATGACAAAATTTATATAAACAGAAATCTAGGGAACATGTGTGGAAATGGACAGCAAGGGTGTGGGATAATGGTGGGAGGAATAATCAGGCCATATTTTTTGATAGAGGCTCACCAAGCACAGATTCTGTATTTAATGTTGCAGCTTCGGGAGTAAGAAAGGGCTCTAACTGTGTGTGTTTGATTAGTTGGCTGAAATATGAACCAAAAGGTGGTCCACAGTGAGTGGATTTGCTTTGGTTTAACATACCTTCCCTGTCCTATATCAGGGATATATTGACTCTCCAGTCCTAACTTATAATTTAGCTTGCTTTATCTTGAACACCTTTCCCTTCAGTATCATATCACTTTAGTCCAATACATTAATGACATTATACTGTTTGGACCTAGTAAGCAAGAAGTAACAGCAATCTAGAATTATTGGCAAGACATTTGCGTGTTAAAGGGTGAGAAATAAATCTGACGAGATTTCAGGGACTTTGTAATCCAGTGTGATTTCTAGGGGCCCAATGACGTAGGTCATGCCAAGATATCTCTGCTAAGGTAAGTTATTGCAACTGTTCTTTCCTACAAACAAAAAGAGGCACAATGCCTAGCAGGTCTTTTTGAATGTTGGTTGCAACACAGTCCTCATTTGGGTGTGTTACTCTGGTCCATTTATCCAAAATGTTGCTACTTTTGAGTGGTGCCCAGAATAAGAAAAAACTTTGCAGCTGTGTACACTGCTCTGTTACTTGAGCCATATAATCCAGCAGATCCAATGTTGTCAGTGGAAGATTGGGACACAGTTTGGAATCTTTGGCAGGCCCTTCTAGATCAATCAAAGCATAGGATTTTGGAGCAAAGCCCTGCCATCCACTGCAGATAACTACTCTCCTTTTAAGAAACAGCTATTAGTCTGCTACTGGACCTTTGTGGAGATTGAATGCTTAATCACGGGCTACCAATTTATCATGTAATCTTAGCTGCCCATTATGAACTGGGTGTTAGCTGACCCACAGAGTCATAAAATTGGATGTGTACAACAGTACCTCATCATCAAATGGAAGTGGAATATATGTGATCAGGACTGAACAGGCCCTAATAGCAAAAGTAAGTTAAATAAAGGAGTGACCCTAATTACTGTGGTCACCACTCCTACTTCACCACCTTTTATTTATCAGCATGAACTCCTCATGAAAAGTTCCTACCATCAGTTGGGTTCCTACCAAGCTCAGGTCTGGTTTACAGATAATTCTGCATGATGTTCAAGCCCCGCCCAAAAGTGGACAGCTAAAGCACTAGAGCCACTTTTTAGGACATCCTTGAAGGACAGTGATGAAGGGAAATTCTCCCAGTGAGCACAACTAAAGAGCCGTGCACCTGGCTGTTAAGTTTGCTTGGAAAGAGATATGGCCAGATGTATAATTATATACTGATTCATGGGCTGTGGCCAGCCAGGGGTTGGATGGTCAGGGACTTGGAATGAATATGCCTGGAACTGGTTACAAGAGAATATATGGAGAAGTATATGAACAGAGCTCTCTGAATGGAAAACAAATGGGAAGATATTTGTTTCCCCTTGAAGGCTCAATAAAATATTTTAATAATCAAATGGACAAGGTGACCCATTCTATGGATACAAGACAGTCTATTTCCCTAGCCACCTGTCACAGCCAGTATTCAGAGGTCTAGAAATAAAGGGTTAAAAATGGGAGTGGCGCCACTCACTATTACCACTATCCTACAAGGAAAGAAGGTCCACTCTTACTATTCTTAGTCAACATAGCACTAGAAGGCCTAGCCAGCACAAAAGATCAAGAAATAAAATAAAAGTCATATAGATTGGAAAGGAACAAGTAAAACTGTCCAATTTGTAAATGACATGATAGTCTACAAAGAAAAGGCCAAAGAATCTGGCAAAATAACTCATAGACCTAGTACGTGACATCAGCAAAGTCATAGGATATAATATCAACATACAAAACTTGATTGTATTTCCATTAACTATCAGTAAATATGTGGCAACTAAAATTAAAAACACAACACAAGCCCTGGCCAGTTTGACTCAGTGGTTAAGGCATTGGTCCACAGACCAAAGAGTCACTGGTTCAATTCTGGTCAAGGGCACATATCTCAGTTGTGGTTCAGTCCCTGGCCCTGGCCAGGGTCGTGAGGGAGGCAACCAATCAATGTGTCTCTCTCACATCAATGTTTCTCTTTCTCTCTCTCCCACTCTGAAGATAGATAAAAAAATATCCTCGGGTGAGGATTAAAAAAAAACATACATAATTCATAATCACTATAAAAAATTAAAACTTAAGTATAAATCTAATAACAAGTGTGTAAGACTTACATTTTTTAAATTTTTACAAAATGTTGATGAAGAAAACCAAAGATCTAAATAAATAAGAGACATACCATGTTAATAAACTAGAAGATTCAATACAGTAAAGATGTCAACTGTCCTCATATTCATCTATAAGTTTAAATATAATTCTTAACAAAATCTAAGTAAAATAAATTTTTATAGACCATTTTACTCTAAAATTTATATGAGAAGGCCAAGACTTAGAATAGCTAAACAATTTTGAAAAAAAATAATAAAATGGAAAGGACTACTATACTCAATTTTAAAGCTTACTATATGGTATAGTAATCAAGAGAGTGTGATATTGGAGAAGAGATGGAAAAAGAGCCATCATACAAAAGAAAGCCCCAAACTAGCCCACCCAAATATGCCCAATTCATGTTTGACAAAGGTCAAGAAATAATTCAATGGTGGCAAGATAGTCTTTTTCACAAATAATGTTAGCACAATTGAGTATCAATAGGGAAAAAAATAAATCACAAATAAAGATCGACCTAAGTGTCACATCTTATATAAAAAGTAACTCAAAATGAATGATTATTTTAAATGTAAAACCTAAAACTAAAAATCTTTTTTAAAAAACATAGGAAAAACTCTTCTTGAACTAGGGCTAGGCAGAGTTCTTAAACATGACACCTAAGGCATAATCCATAAAAGAAAAAACTGATAAATAAGAACTGTTTTAGATATAAAGTTTTATTTAGTTTGCCAATTTGTTCTAAAATACACTTTCTTATGCATTTGTCATTTTATTTTCTAATATTTCCGATTTGACTTCTTCATTAATCATTCATTACAAGCTCATGTGTACAAAGCCTTCTTATTCATATTGTACTGATGAAGAAAAATTTTCAGTTAAGCAACTTGTAGAAAAACCTAAGTTTGAATCCAGATAGTTCCATTTTTAGAATCCTATCCATACTCTTTTAATGCCACCACACTAACTCCAAAATCCAAAATATCAATCTGAACTCTTATATACTGCTGTAGAAATATAACCTGAAACAACTTGAGACACCAAATTTTCACATTATCATGTAAGGTTGAAGATGCTCAAAATCTATCTGGGTGGAAATCCAGAAAGTCTATTTAGAAAGAAACCAACTGGCATTCCTTGTCCTTTCTCCTAAATTAACCATTTTTCTGAGTGTACTGGTCATTCCCAGCAGCACACAAGCATGCAGTGAAACTTCCTGAGGGTTGACTACAGCTGTCTCCAATTCCTCTCTTCCTATTCTCTACTCAAGTTCTCCAATATGCTTTCATTTTCAACAATTCACTGAAACAGCTTTTTGTGAAGACCATCAATGACCTCTACTCTCTGAAATCTAAAAGTAAATTCTCAGTCCCTGTCTAACCTAACTAATCATCATGACTAAATTAATTATTCCTATTTTCCTCATTTGAGGCTCAGGATCTCACTCTTGCTCCTGGTTCTCAGCCTATCTTACTAGAAATTCATTTTCAGCCTCTTTAGCTGGCTTCTCCTTATCTTCCTGACTCTAAGGCTGACATGCACCAGGGCTGAATTTTATTTTATTTTTTAAATTTTATTTTATTTTAATATTTTTTCTTTATTGATTTTAGGGAAAGAGGAAGAAAGAGGGAGAGATAGAAACATCGAGAGAGAACATCGATCAGCTACCTCCTGCATGCCCCCCACTGGGAATCAGCCCTCAACCTGGGTATGTGCCCTGACCAGGAACTGAATTAGCAACCTCTTGCTGCATGGGTCGACGCTCAACCATTGAGCCACACTGGCCAGGTAAGGTTGAACTTGTAGGTATCTTCTCTTTTCTGGCTACACTGACATCCCTGGTGATCTCAATCATGATCACAACTTTAAATATTATCTCTATGCTAATGATTCCCAAAACTATTATCTCTAACCCAAATGCGTCCCAAATTCTACACTCAACTTCTTCACCTTCATGTTTAAGGGGTATCTTAGTTAATATTTACTGCATCTAAAAGCTAACTCTTATTTTCCACTACAATTACCACCACTGCAACCAGCTTTTCCCCAGTTTTCTTAATCTAATTAATAACACCTATCTTAGAGCTACTTAGACCAAGAACCTTCAAAGTTATCTTAGTTGATTCTTTAACATCTCCTGTATAATCCAACTACAAATCATCTCTTTCTTCAAACCATAAGCGGGCCCTGGCTGGTTTGGCTCAGCGGTTAGAGCGTCGGCCTGCGGTCCAGAGAGACCCGGGTTCGGTTCCCGCTGAAGGCATGTATCTCGGTTGCAGTTTGTCCCCGGCCCTGGTTGGTCATGCGGGTGGCAGCCACTCGATGTGTCTCTTTCACGTCAATGTTTCTCTCTCTCTCCTCCTCCTCTCTCTCCCTCCCACTCTATCTGAGCAAAAAAAAAAAAAAAAAACATAAGCGGAATCTATCCATTCTTTATCATCCCTTCTGCTACCATCCTAATCCAAGATGTCACATTTGTGAAAAGAAAGCAATGCTCTTAGCCATTTTCCATTTTTGTAGCTAAGGGCTAGTTACACCATCCCTTTGATAGATTATTTTCTCTAAAAGCAGGGACAAGGTGTGGCAACTGGTTGCTTTATCCTATGTATGCTTTAGGCTTTCATGAAGAGATGAAAGAAGGCAAGAAGAGAGATTCTTGAAATACATCATCCAGCCTGGCACAATAGGGTAGGATAGCTAGAGACTCAGAGAAGTGGTCATAGCCAAGACAGTCTGGTACACATTCAGCTGGGGCATCTCCTACAAAGCATCTTGAAGACCAGATAGACTCTATGCTGAATCAAGTGAAAGAGACTTTTATCATCTGGCATAGTTGGCACCTCAGCATTTAGAGAACCCATATTTTTTCCACCACCAAAGAAAGTAACTGTGAGATCTTGCACAAGTTACTTATATAATCTGATTTTGGGCAAGTCACTAGACAGTTAGATTGAAATATATGATAATAAAGAAAACTTACAGGCCCATAATGAATACTGCTTTTAGAGGTAACATTATTATAGATAGCAGGGTTTTTTTTTAAAGTCTAGAACTCAAAATTCCGAAAGAATGTCTAAGGCAGAGTCCTTCTGAGGTATTAACATAAAGGGCCTCTCAAAATATCCTTAGTGCCAAGGCCACATATATAAAATGTAAGATTAGGCAACCTAAATTAGGATGACATTGTGAGCAACAAAAATATGACAAGGGCATTATCTATAGTGTTAGTTTTATCATAAACTTTTATGGCTTTGAGTAAGAAAAGCATTAAGAATCCTGGCTGTAAAATTACATGATTCTGTGACTTATTTACTGAGTACAGACCATATCTCAGACTCTGAGATAGTCACTGTGAGGGATACAAATAATTACAAATAGATTAAGTATTATTTTTATTTTAGAACTGAAATAAATGGCAGGTCATCTAAATATTCCTCTACCTTTGTCAGGCACAATGAAAATATCCTAAAAAAGCAAATTAAGTATGTACCTTTCAGTGCTGTAGTCTTTTCTTTTTCATCTGGACCTCCCTGCTGGATTTGTGCCATGCTTATCCAAATTGGGCACAAAATTAAAGAGCTCAAGGTAATAGACATCAATCTTCAGAAGACACTCTAGAATGAATGAAAGCAATAAATTAAGCTCTACTCGATCCTACCTACTCCATGAGAACTTCTTGATCCACCCAACTGAGATTAATCTCTCTATCCTGATTTCCCACTGCACTTTGTTGATGTCTATACTACAATAGTTATCAGAGCTTGCCTTGCATTGTAGTTATTTATGTATTTGTCTGGGTCCGCTAACAGATTACAAGCCTCAAGATAGAGGTATCAAGTTTTTTCATCTTTATATTTCTCATGTCACTAAACACAATACCTTATAGTGCATACAGATACCTACTGTTTAGTTTCTTATCATCTAATTTAAAAAATAAATCCAAGTAGTTTCAAAAACTATAAATTTATTTTAAAATAGACTGTAAGCATATGGATTTACAAGGTCGGAATATCTTCTGGAACATGCAGACAGTCAAAAGGACAAAAATACACAAATACAAAAACTAGCTATAAATGACCTCAAAATAAAACTTTAAAAAAAATTTAATTAACCCTTTTAAAAATGAAACTATGGAAACAACCAGAGTGTCCTTCAATAGATGATTGGATAAAGAAGATGTGGTATATACATAATGTAATACTATTCAGATACAAGAAAAGATGAAATATTGCCATTTGCAACAACATTATGCTAAGTGAAACAGTCAATCAGAAAAAGCTAAGAACTATATGATTTCACTCATATGTGGGATATAAAACTGAAACTCACAGACACAGACAACAGTATGATAGTTACCAGAGGGAAGGGGGTTGGAGGGTAGTAAAAGGTTAAGGAGGCCAAATATATGGGGACAGAAGATGATTTGACTTTGGGTAGTAGGCACACAATGCAGAGTACAGATCATGTATCGTAGAAATATACACACGAAACCTATATGATCTTATTAACCAATGTTACTCTAGTAAATTAGTTTAAAAAAATGAAACTAGCCCTGGCCAGTTTGGCTCAGCGGTTAGAGCGTCGGCCTGCGGTCAGGAGAGACCCGGGTTCGGTTCCCGCTAAGGGCACGTACTTCGGTTGCAGTTTGTCCCCGGCCCTGGTTGGTCGTGCGGGTGGCAGCCACTCGATGTGTCCCTTCACGTCGATGTTTCTCACTCTCTCTCCCTTCCTCTCTCTCCCTCCCACTCTATCTGTACAAAAAATGGAGGGATGTCCTCGGGTGAGGATAAAAAAAAAAAAAAAAATGAAACTATGTTAGATTCAATGTCTGAAAACCAGTCTATAAATGGCAGTCCAATAAGTAATATAAAATTATGAATTATCAAAGTCTAATTCTTCATTTAAACTATAAATAGATGATGTTTCCCAGGGTTCAATAGCCAAAATAAAAAACAAAAAACCCATTATTCCTAAATTAAAAGAAAAAAATGCAACATATACAATGGAAAACATAAACTAATGTAATCAAGCCATAATTGTTAATGATATTATATAAAAATTACATTTAGCAATAATAAAATTAAATATTCTTCTGATTGAGAAACCCAATTGATTTCCTACTCACTAAACAAACCTACATTTACATTCAGAGGCACATTTTATTTTATTTTATCCTCACCCAAGGATATTTTTGAATTTTTTGTTCAGATAGAGTAGGAGGGAGGGTTAGAGAAACATCGATGTGAAAGGGACACATCGAGTGGCTGCCACCCGCACGACCCAACCAGGGCAGGGGACAAACTGCAAAGGTTCGAGCCCTTAGCAGGAACCAAACCCAGGTCTCTCTGGACCAAAGGCGGACGCTCTAACTGCTGAGTCAAACCGGCCAGGGCCACAGGCACATTTTATAATTAACTTTACAAAGAGGCATTTTTATAGTCAGCAGAGTGTAGCAGAAAATAGTTTTTAAAAATTAATACTGAAAATTACATTTCATTTTTATTTAGTTATTTTTATTTAGTTATTTTTGTTACAGATGTTTCTCCTATCCCCCTCTGACATCCTCCTCCTCCTCCGCCCCATCCACAGCTTTGTTGTCCATGTCCATTGGTTCTGCGTACATGCATATAAGTTCTATGGTTTATCTCTTCCTCCCTAACCTCCTCTTCTGGGAATTGTCAGTCTATGCTCTATTTCCATGTCTCTGGGACTACCCTGTTCTTCAGACTGTCATGTTCATTATATTCCACAAATAAGTGAGATCATATGAAATTTGTCTTTCTCTGCTTGGCTTGTTTCACTTAGGATAATACATTCCAGGTCCCTCCATGTCATCTCAAAGGATAAGATATCTTTCTTTATCGCAGCTGCATATTACTCCATTGTGTATATGTATCACAGCTTCTTTATCCATTCTTCTATTGATGGACACTTGGACTGTTTCCAGACCTTACCTATATCAAATAGTGCTACTATGAACATGGGGGTACATATATTCTTTCTGATTAGAGGTTCAGGCTTCTTAGGATATATTCCTAGAAGTGGGATCACTGGGTCAAATGGCAATGCAATCTTTAATTTTTTGAGGTAACACCATAGTGTTTTCCATAGTGGCTGCACCAGTCTCCATTCCCACCAGCAGTGTACTAGAGTTCCCTTTTCTCCACACCCTCCCCCATACTTGTTGTTTGATACTTTGTTGATGGAGGCCATTCTGACAGGTGTGAGCTGATACCTCATTGTTCTTTTAATTTGCATCTCTTTGATGATTAGTGATGTTGAGCATTTCTTCCTATGTCTCTTGGTCAATTGTATGTCCTGTTTGGAAAGGTGTCTATTTAGCACCTCAGCCCATTTTTTAATTGGGTCCTTTGTCTTCCTTTTGTTGAGCTGTATGAGCACTGTATGTATATTGGAAATTAACCCCTTATCTGATGTATCATCGGCAATTATACTCCCCCATACAGTGGGTTGCCTTTCCATTTTGATGGTTGTTTCTTTTGCTGTGCAGAAGCTTTTGAGTTTGATGTAGTCCCACGTGTTCATTTTCTCCTTTGTTTTTGTTGCCTTAGGTGATGTATCAGTGAAAATTCTGCTGCATATCATGTCTGAAATTTTGTTGCCTACATATTCTTCTAGGATTTTTATGGATTCATGAGTCGTATTTAAGTCTTTTATCCATTTTGACTTTATTCTTGTGTATGGTGTAAGATGATGGTCTAGTTTCATTTTTTTGCATGTAGCTGTCCAATTTTCCCTATACCATTTATTAAAGAGGTTGTCTTTACTCCATTGTATGCACTTGCCACCTTTGTCGATTATTAATTGAGCATAATGCTTTGTGTCAATTTCTGGGTTCTCTGTTCTATTCCATTAACCCTGGTTCTTGTGCCAGTAACAGGCTGTTTTAATTACAGTAGCTTTTGTAGTATAACCTGATATCCGGTATTGTGACCCTGCCTACTTTATCCTTCTTTTTCAAGATTGCTGTGGCTATTCAAGGTCTTTTTTGGTTCCATATGAACGTGAAGTATCTGTTCTAATTCTGTGAAGTATGTTTTTGGTATTTTGATGGGGATTGCATTGAATTTACAGGTTGTTTTGGGTAATATAGACATTTTAATGATGTTAATTCTTCAAATCCATGAACAAGGTATGTGCTTCCACTTTTTTATATCTTCCTCTATTTCTTTTTTCAATGTTCTGTAGTTTTCTGTGAATAGGTACTTCACTTCTTTGGTTAAGGTAATTCCCAGGTGTCTTAATTTGTTTGCTGCAATGGTAAATGGGATTGTTCTTAGTTTCTCTTTCTGTGAGTTCATCATTGGTGTATACGAAAGCTGTCAATTTCTTGACATTAATTTTGTATACTGCTACTTTGCCAAATTCATTTTTAAGTCTAGTAGATTTTTGATGGAGTCTAGGGTTTTCTATGTATAATATCATGTCATCTGAAAATAATGACAGTTTCATTTCCTCTTTCCCAATTTGGATCCCCTTTATTTTTTCTTCATGTCTGATTGCTGTGGCTAAGACTTCCAGTGCTATGTTAAATAAGAATGGTGAAAATGGACATCCTTGTCTTTTTCATGGTCTTAAGGGAAATGCTTAGAATTTTTGTCCATTGAGTATGATACTGGGTGTAGGTCTTGCATATATGGCCTTTATTATGCTAAGATATGATCCCTCTACTCCCACATTGCTATGCGTTTTTATCAGAAAAGGGTGCTGGATTTTATCAAATGCCTTTTCAGCATCTATTGATATGATCACATGGTTTTTATCTTTCATTTTGTTTCTGTGGTGTATCACATTTAATGATTTGTGAATATTGTACCAGCCTTGCATCCCTGGGACGAATCCCACTTGGTCATGGTGGATAATTTTTTTTTTTTTTTTTGATGTATTGCTGGATCCGATTTGCTAGTGCTTCGTTCAGGATTTTGGCATCTATGCTTATCAGGGATATTGGCCTGTAGTTTTCTTTGTTTGTAGTGTCTTTTCCTGGTTTTGGAATTAGAATTATGCTGGCCTCATAGAACGAGTTTGGAAGTCTTCCTTCTTCTTGAATTTTTAGGAATAGTTTGAGAAGAATGGATGTTAGTTCTTCTTTGAATGCTCGCTAAAACTCCCCAGTGAAGCCATCCGAGGCTGAGCTTGTTTGCTGGAAGAGTCTTGATTATATCTTTAATTTCCTTAATTGTTATTGGTCTGTTCAAGTTTTCTGTCTCTTCCCAATTCGGTTTTGAGAGTCTGTGTGTTTCTAGAAATTTGTCCGTTTCACTTAGATTATCCAATTTGTTACCGTACAACTGTTCATAATATTTGTTAGCAATCCTTTGTATTTGTGGTGTCAGTCATTACTTCTCTTCTTCTGTTACTGATTTTCTGTATTTGGATTCTCTCTCGTTGTTTCTTGGTTAGTCTAGCTAAGGATCCATCAACCTTGTTTTTCTTTAAAAAAAAAAAAAAAAAGAGCTCTTTGTTTCATTGACCCTTTGAATTGTGTTTTTGGTCTCCGTGTTGTTTATTTCTGCTCTGATCTTTACTATTTGCTTCCATCTACTTGCTCTGGGGTTTTCTTCTTGTTTGCTTTCTAGTTCTTTAATTGTGA